AGAGAGAGAGAGAGAGAGAGAGAGAGAGAGAGAGAGAGAGAGAGAGAGAGAGAGAGAGATCATGCAGTTGTTCGTGAATTCTCTACGTCTACTCATACAAGAGAGAAGGCAAGAGGGCTTTATCTGTGCACGTCTGTTTTTTTTTCCCTCCTTGCCTTACATAATACTCGTTAGTTGCTTTGTTCTTGTCAGCTTCACTTTGGGTTCTGACATCCGACAAGCAATTCCACTTCTTGGGCGACGTCTGCCGGAGAGCCACATGGCACATGACGGCAGGAGATAGGAGGAGGGGAAGGGAGGAGGAGGGGAAGGGAGGAGGAGGGGAAGGGAGGAGGAGGGGAAGGGAGGAGGAAGGAGGGGGAAGGAGGAGGGAGGAGGATTAGTGGAGGCGAGAATGAAGGAGGATGAGGAGGGGGAGAATGGTGATGGCGGCGAGGACGGGAACAAGAACAAAAAAAACATTGCGATTTGCCACGTGGCACATTACGGGAGGGGAAAGGACGGAGGGGGAGGAGGAGGAGGAGGAGGAAGGAGGAGAGGAGGAGGGAGGATGAGTGGAGACGAGAGCGAAGGAGGATGAGGAGGAGGGCGAATGATGATGGCGACGAGGACGAGACAAGAACAAAAAAAAACAGTGCACCGATTTGCCACGTGGCACATTACGGGAGGGGAAAGGAGGGAGTGGGAGGAGGACGAAGGAGGAGAGGAGGAGGGAAGAGGAGGGAATAGGAGGGAAGAGGACGAGGGGAGACGGGGAGGGAGGAGGAGGAGGGAGGTAGATGACGAGGACGAGGCACACGATGGCAACAGATAGGAGAAGGGGTAGGGAGGAGGAAGGGGGAAGGAGGAAGGAGGGGGAAGGAGGAGGGAGGAGGATGAGTGGAGACGAGAACGAAGGAGGATGAGGAGGGAGAATGATGATGGCGACGAAAATGAAACAAGAAAAAAAAAGTGTGTATTACGAGAGGGGAAAGGAGGGAGGGGGAGGAGGAGGGAGGAGAGGAGGAGGGAGGAGAGGAGGAGGGAAGAGGAATGAAGAGGAGGGAGGAGGATGAGGGGAGACGAGGAGGAAGGAGGAGGAGGGAGGTGGATGACGAGGACGAGGCACACAACGACAGGAGATAGGAGAAAGGGGAGGGAGGAGGAAGGATGGGGAAGGAGGAGGGAGGAGGATGAGTGGAGACGAGAACGAAGGAGGATGAGGAGGGAGAATGATGATTGTGACGAGGACGAGAATAAGAACAAAAAAAGAACAGTGTGCCGATTTGCCTTATGGCACACTACGGGAGTGGAAAGGAGGGACGGGGAGGAGGAAGGATGGGGAAGGAGGAGGGAGGAGGATGAGTGGAGACAAGAACGAAGGAGGATGAGGAGGGAGAATGATGATTGCGACGAGGTCGAGAACAAGAACACAAAAAAAACAGTGTGCCGGTTTGCTTTATGGCACATTACGGGAGTGGAAAGGAGGGACGGGAAGGAGGAGGAGGGAGGAGAGGAGGGAAGAGGAGGGAGGAGAGCAAGAGGAGACAAGGAGGAAGGAGGAGGAGGGAGGTGGATGACGAGGACGAGGCACACGACGGTAGGAGATAGGAGAAGGGGGGGGGNGGGGGGGGGGAGGGAGGAGGAAGGAGGAGGGAGGAGGATGAGTGGAGACGAGAACGAAGGAGGATGAGGAGGAGGGAGAATGATGATGCGGACGAGGACGAGAACAAGAACTAAAAAAAGTGTGGATGCCAAGGACAAGGCACACGATGGCAGGAGATAGGAGAAGGGGGAGAAAGGAGGAAGGATGGGGAAGGAGGATGGAGGAGGATGAGTGGAGACGAGAACGAAGGAGGATGAGGAGGGAGAATGATGATTGCGACGAGGACGAGAAAAAAGAAAACAATGTGCCGATTTGCCATGTGGCACATTACGGGAGGGGAAAGGAGGGAGGGGGCGGAGGAGGAGGAAGGAGGAGAGGAGGGAAGGGGAGGGAAGAGGAGGGAGGAGGACGAGAGGAGACGAGGAGGAAGGAGGAGGAGGGAGGTGGATGGCAAGGACGAGGCACGGTAGGAGATAGGAGAAAGGGGAGGGAGGAGGAAGGAGGGGGAAGGAGGAGGTAGGAGGATGAGTGGAGATGAGAACGAAGGAGGATGAGGAGGAGGGAGAATGATGATGGCGATGAGGACGAGAACAAGAACCAAAACAAAGTGTGCGTCGATTTGCCACGTGGCACATTACGGGACGGGAAAGGAGGGAGGGGGAGGAGGAGGGAGGTGGATGACGAGGACGAGAACAAATGGTGTGCCACGACAGGAGGAGAGAGGAGGAGGAAGGGGGGAGGTGGAGGAGGCGGAGGACAAAAAAATCACGAGATGAAAACCAAAAGTTGCGTGCCACAGAGGACGAAGCAGGACGAAGGAGGGGGGAGAGAGAGAGAGAGAGAGAGGAGGAGGAGGAGGAAGAGGGAGGGATAGGGGGAGGGAGGGAGGCGAATGAGTTCGTGGTGTGTTCCTTCATTTTTTGGCAGCCTGGATTCGGTATGTGTTCCTTTTTTTTCCGTAAAGGGTGATGGTCTTGAGATGTCATGTATTCAATATTTCATTCATTTACAATTGTCTGGATTGGAGCTCACGTCTGCATTTGTAGGAGGGAGGATGATGATGAAACAGTTTTCACCTTTGGCAGTAGCCGATGCAGATCCCAGGGGTCGATCCCTTGACCTCAGCTTACCTGTGTACAGTATCTGCACAGTTCCCTGGAGTTGAACCCGTGACCTGCACGATAGCCAGTG